CAGCATCATCACAGACATGTGAGTAATGCATTGTGCTACAATGTTAAAGACAGCATTAAGTCACTAGGTGATAGGAATTTTTCAGCTCTATTATAATCTTTTGGACCAGCATAGTATATATTTCCTGTGACCAGAATGTTGTTATGTGACATGTGACTATACTTAATACTTTTGACAGTGAAATAGTTTTCTGTTATATAGTTTTTCACTGGTAGTTACATTTCTCATTTTCATTCTGATTATAATTTGATGTCCCAGATAAGGTGCCTATGGACAGAATATGCTGACTGGAAACCCTAAGTACCTGGTCCCCTTGCCAGTTTTTTTTCCCCACTGGAGGCCAGTAACTTGGCACTTTTGTTGATACTTTGTATACTTGAAGAGTGTGAGTCTACTTGTGAAAAATTGATCTACTATGTGAATAACACAGGAGCTTTTAAGGCTGAGAGAACTAGCCCCTAAATGTTGATGTATTCAGCAAGATAAATTTTACTTTGCAGAGACTTGCCTGGGCTGCCCGCCAACCTCCCTCAGCCATCCTCCTTTAAAGTTTTATAAAACATTGTCATGATGCTGCTGAATAGAAACATTTTAGGGAAAATGTTGCATATTCTTACATGTCTTGTAACTAGAAGGATAGTAAGGACAAAGAGAATATAGCCCTAACTCCAAGGTAGGTATGCTGTGAGAACTGGATTTTGGAGAGAAGCCTTTAGGTTAACTAATATGAGTGCCTGCTATGTATATAAGCACTATCATGTTTACAAAGAGTTGCTCCTTAAGGAGATTAAAAAGATGTCATATACTCAAGAGATATTTAAATGGTACAAAAACAGTATGTCATTAGGGAGTTACAATAAATCAAATGTTTTTAGCTATAAGCGTTGAAGTAAATTGGAATATAGAGTGATAGAGCCAAAATGGAATCTTCTTAGCATTTATCCTAATCATAATTAATTTTTGTATAACTATTAAAATTTGTTATTAACAATGTTTATGTGTTAATTAATATTGTTATTAATATATGCTATTAACTCTGAAAACTGAGTGCAGAAGCTATGTCACATTCACTGTATCACTATAATGTGGTATATACAATATGTCATGAAGTTGATTTTCAATAAATATTTGTCGAATAAATGGATCTTGAAAGCTTTAGAAGGATGGAACAGATAGCCACTGTGTGGAATATTTTTTTTCATGCATGTTCTTTATTCCTTACAATGACATTGTGATATGAGAATGTTCCCAATTTAAAAATGAAAACAGCTAATCAGATTAATAGAACCAGGATTAGAATCTAGGTTTGTATACCTTCTGAGCACTTACTGGCTCCGTTATAATTAGCAAAACATGAGCAAAGCCATTTAGTCATAAGTGAATTTATGACGAGGCAGGTAAATATGAGAGAGTAGTGGAAAATGAATATGTAAAATAGAGTTAGATTATTGAAAACTGAAACATCTTGAGTTGGAGATTTATTTTGAAGACTATGGTGGAGTGAGCTCAAATATTTTGAGCAGGGTAAAAATAACATGGTGAACAAGAAAACAGTAAGGAAGCTATTATAATAATTCTGGTGTGAGGTAGTGGGTTGAACTAAGTCAGCAGCAATAATGATAGAAGGAAAAGTGAAAGATTTGTAGTATTAGCAGGATTTGAAGATGAGAGTAAGAATCTGAAGCTAGACTGGTTGACTAGGAGACTCTCCATACAAATTAGATAATAAGCAAAGGAAATAGTTAACTTTGGCTTCTGTCATTGAAATAATGGCAGAGAAACTCACTGGAAGTGCTTATTCACTGATTGGAAATAGGAATTGAGGTTTGAGAGGTCAAGACTAGCAAGAGAAGTTGGTAGAGAGGATAGAGGCATTTAGTTTGGAGATGCTAAGAAACTGGTATTCTCAATCTTCAAAACTGCTTAAGGAATACTTTTAGACACCAGGAATTTACAGACTGAGTCTTGGAGAAATACATTTCTGATTACTCAGGGTGCATTTTTCCAACAGTCTTTTTCCTACTATTTGTTTATACTTGTAAATAACTACTGCAGTCTCAGAAAAGTGATGATATACTTAGTGCATGAATAATACATTTTTTATGAAACCTAGGGTCACTTACCATTCTGTGGCCTTCAGAAGAAAAGAAAGTTTATTTTGTATTTCTTCACTGTTTTTACTTGATTAATATCAAATTTAACTTCATCCAGATTGATACCAAACTTAGTTTCTGTGAAGGATTAAAATGTTTAATCATTATTATTAATAACTGGCTATTTTATCAATAATTGTTCCTTTCTGTTTTAATCCCCTGCCCAGAGATCATCGTAGAAACTTGTTGTCATTCCCGATGAAGTCCTTAAAAGTGATAAATTATTTCTAACCTTGACATGTTTTCTTTGACCCAAGCTTGCAGATCAGTTTTGTAATGCCATTGGAGTGCTGCAGCAATGTGGTCCCCCTGCTTCTTTTAATAATATTCAGACAGCGATTAACAAAGACCAACCAGCCAACCCTACAGAAGGTAAATGAGTTTTCTTGGCTTTTCTTAAGTTTGACTCTCATATTTCTTGTAATCCTTTAAAATTAGATTTATTGAGAAATTTAACTTATTTATGGCTTTTTTCTAAAAATGTTCTTTGAGGATGTTACTACAAGTTTTTGTTAAAAAAGAAATGAATGTGTTACAGTCAATTCACATCTCATAGTTCTGTTCATGTCAAATAACAGATTGTTGCTCTTTTTGAAGAGAATTTGTATGAATTTAGCTGAATTTTACTTGAGGGACCTTAATAAGAAAGGCATCCCATTTACAGATTTCTTTATTTAAATGACCCCCATATTGTCCTAATAAATGAGAAAAAATACATTATGCTTAATTCCCAGTTGGAGCTAAATGTGTAATAGGATTGATGTGTTAAAATTACACTTTAATCATTAGAATCATTGGGTTAGAATTAGAATAGATTAAAATCATTAGAATCTTAGTTCAGAAAAAGTTATGTGAAGTTTTCTGGCTTCGTTAACTTAAAATTTAATTTCTGTTTCTGGGAACTTGAAGTTCTCTAATATCCTAATTTAGTAATATCTATCTTTCTCTAGAGTATGCCCAGCTTTTTGCGGCACTGATTGCACGAACAGCAAAAGACATTGATGTTTTGATAGATTCCTTACCCAGTGAAGAATCTACAGCTGCTTTGCAGGTAAAAGTGTCTATTCTTTTGAGAATTTTACCAGTTATGGAGAATTTTGAATTTAAAGAGGTAGATTTAGTGCCTTTTATCTTTGTTCATTTTTGCTGCTATAACAAAATACCTGAGACTGGGTAATTATGAAGAACAGAAATTTATTTTCTCCCAGTTCTGGAGTCTGGGAAGTCCAAGATCAAGGCGTCAGCATCTATTGAGGGCCTTATTTTTACTTCTCACATGGTGGAAGGCAGAAAGGCAAGAGAGCAAGAGCTTCCCCTTCAACCTGGAGCC